TTTTAGAACCACGACCCTTATTAAATTTCATAGTAATAGGATCAGCGTAATCCATACCAGATGAGAAAAAAGGTCGTTCCAAAGTCACACGATGTTCAGGTAAGTCACCCATCAATTGCGGAGTTGAAGCAGCTTTAAATCGATGACATATTAAGCAATGGTTGATACAACTGCGTATCATTCTCTTCCCTCTCAATTATCCAGTAAGATTGCCTGATGAGGTGTGATAATAAAGACCAGCATGAAGGTAAGAAATATGAAGTTCTTTCACTAGTAATTCGCTAAATTTATGTCGAGAAGGAAGTATGACAGGATGTTTGATGTTAAATGCTAAAGATGAATTTCGAAGACGTCCTCCCACCCGTAAGAGACCATCTTTATCTACGAATGGATATAGAGAACGTAGTTGTCTCTTTTTGGGTAAAAGTTTCTCTTTCTCAATACATTGTAAATCATCTTTGAAATAATGATCCTGAATCCAACGAATAATGAACTTTTCTGCTACTCTAATCTCTAGAAATGTTAGCGGCATAAGGCAGCTGGAGTTAATACCACAACGCGAAATGTTCTGAGTAACAAGATGCTTCTTGCAATTAGTAATAAATCTTTGACAGTAAGCCAGAATACGAACAATTCTACAACGCGAAGAATAATGCTCGAATAAATTAGCTAATAAATCATTCGATTCACGTATATGAGAAATAAAAATAGGATCAGATCTTTGTTCGGCCTTTACTTCAGTATCATCTTCAGATCTTAATTCATATTTAGGCCATTTTTCCTCTTCCTGACGCAACCATGGTGGACCATTCCACCACAAAGTACAATTTGGTAGGAGTTGAGGTTCAATACCACGAGAAGCAACGTCTGCAGGATTTTCTTTAGAGAGAACATGATTCCAGTGTTTAATAAGTATCACTTCTATGATTTGAGATGTTTTGTTTGCAACAAAAGTTTTCCATTTACGTGGATGAGCGGATAGCCAAGACAGAACTACCTTTGAATCCGTCCACGCATACATTTCAAAATTAAACTTCTTTAAAATGTTCAAAAGAGATCGCATTAATCTGGTCAACAAATACGCAGCACAAAGTTCTAATCGAGGAATGGATACTTGCTTTATAGGCGCGACTTTAGTCTTTGATACCAAAAGATTAACCTTAACCGTACCATTGCATTTTTGGCGACAGTAAATGGCTGCTGCATAGGCCTGCGAAGATGCATCAGAAATCCATGTAGTTGGATAACACTGTCCGTTGTAAGTATGACACATCTCGGAATTTCACAATTATTGATTTGACTGAATGTCTCTTGAAATTTAAACCAATCATCTGAGATATGCTGGGGAACAACTGAATCCCAGTCGCCTTTAACTAACCATAGCTTTTGATAGAATATTTTAATCTATATAGTGCAAGGAGATAGGAGACCTAAAGGATTGAAGATGCGAGCAGATTCTGCCAATATGCGTCTTTTTGTTATAGGTGCGTTGATGTGCAGTGTAGCTTTAAAACTAAAGGTATCAGTAGTTGAATTCCAAAAAGTCCTAAGACTTTCGAACTCGAATTAGGAGATATCTCGAAATCAGAATTCAATGAACAATGTTCCTTAAATTCAGTTAAGAATTCTACAGAATTTGTATTCCACTTCCTCAAATCAAAACCACGTGCATGTAAAATTGAAGATATTTTCTTGCAAACGGATACTGCATCATCAATTGTATTTGCACCCGACAATAAGTCGTCCATATACATATCCTCTTGCAATATACGAGATACATCTGATTCCTCTTTAGAATCTAAAGCTACCTGCTTCAGACATCGAGTTGCTAAAAATGAAGCAGAGGAAAGACCATACGTAACTGTCTTCAACTTGTACGTGCGCATTTCATCACTGGAATTGTATCGCCAAAGTATCAATTGATAATTCTGATCTTCAGGGGCTACCATCACCTGACGATACATCTTCTCCACATCGGCTGTGAAAACAATTTTAGGAAATCGAAAATTAATCAAAATCTCAAAAATATCTCTTTGTAATTTCGGACCTACCCCTAAAACAGAATTCAATGATATATCGTTTTCAGATTTACAGGATGCATCAAAAACTACTCTTTAATTTTGTCGTTGTGCTAGAAGGTTTAATGACCGCATGATGAGGAAGATAAAACTTTTCTATATCTGTTAGATCATCATTAATCACAGTCATATGTCCTAACTGTTCATATTCATGTATGAAATCTTTATACTGTTTTTTCAAATTCCGGATTATCTTTGAATTTTCGTTCCATGGAACGCAACCTAGAAATTGCTGCCGGTTTTGAATCACCCAACTTCAAATGCGATTTATAAAATGGAAGTTTTACAACAAATCGCCCATCTGAATTAACAGAATGAGTGTTTTGAAAATGTGATTCACAAAATTGTTCCTCAGGTGTCAGAAATTCCTTCTTCCCAACATCGACAATATCCTCCATTTCCCAGAAACGCTTAAGTTCGTAATCAATATTTATATTATCTTCTAGCTTTATGAAGTGTGAATTTGCTGTTTTTTGGCCTTCCATATTATTTCCGACCTTCCCAGCAATCACCCAACCGAAAATTGTATTTTGAGCTACAGGCTCATTTTTCGAACCATATATTTGGCCACATCTTAAAACGGAGAAAAAATAATCAGCTCCTAAAATCAAATCAATTTCTTTGGGTTGAGCAAAATTCGGATCCGCTAACGGAATAGATTTAATGTATTCTATATGCTTTACATTAATGACTTGTTCCGGCAATGGCAAAGTTAACCTATCCAAAATGTATGCGTTAACATCAATTATTCCATTATTTAACCTTGACCGAACTTTTAAACTAACAAAACCGCGAGTCTTGGAAGCTGGCACTCCGCCAATTCCACGCAAAAGTAACCTTTGATTCGTTCTTTTTAATCCTAATCTTCGAACAGCTCGTTCAGAAATAAACGAACTTTCACTTCCGGAATCTAGTAATAATTTAATTTCGATAGTTTTCGCCACTGGATGAAAATGCGAGTGCGAGAACTGTAGGCAAAATCGCCGAGTTGCAATTTTGAATCGTATTACTGACAACTACCTACCTGACCTTGACCCTCGCATGATTCATTCGAAATTCTCTCTGGAGTGCTTTCGTTTTCATTTGGCGCTTTAAAAGCTGTACGTTGTTAGCTTTAATATCTTCATGCAACAAACTATTATGTGTTTTTGAATTACACAAATTACACTTTAACTGTGAATTACAGTTTTTGATTAGATGTGAATTTAAACATAAAAAACACAATCCTTGTTTTCTCACAAAGTTCTTTCTAGCAGTAACATCCAAATTCTTAAATTTAACGCATTTATATAACGCATGAAGTCCGTTACATTTCGAACATTTAGTATTACTAAATTTAGAATTCTGTAACGTTTTAGAACTAACATTATATTTTTATTAACGACTTTAGCTTCTGCTTCTTTATTTATGATAATTTCGAGAGAAGAACACCTTAAATTTAAAAATTCAAAAAATGATTCCAATGTAGGAAAATCATCTTCCGCTGTTTTCTGTGCCCATAACTTTCGAGTTTCTGAATCTACCTTTTGAAGCAACATAAATATTAACCATGGATCCCTAGAAGTTGCTTTGTCACCAAGAGCTTTTAAACCTCTGATAACTTCATCTGAAGTATCAGCTAATTGCCGTAAATTAACATTATCAACCTGTGAAATACATTTTTGATCCAGAAATGTTTTAATTAACGATTGTACAATTTGTTTCTTTTTATCGTACCTAGCGAGCAATTTTGCCCATGCTTCTTCATAAGAATTATTTGATAACGGAATATGTTTAATTATAGAAGCTGGTTCATCAGCAAGTGATCCGATTAAATACTGAAATTTCTGTATATTCGATAAAGAAGTATTATGCACTGTTGCAACAAACAAATCTTTAAAATTCATCCAGTCATTAAAGTTACCCGAAAAAATAGGAATATTCAACTTCGGTAACTTAAAGTTACTAATATTAGAATTTTCTGAAACATTTGGCACATTAGCCACATTCAATACATCTAACAAATTTTGATACTGAAGTTTCAAACTAAAATACTTCGATTCAAAATCTTCAATTTCTGACTGTTCTTCTGGTAATTGGGCATCAAATTTATCAAAATCTGAATAAATCCTTTCCAAGCGCTCCAGATGCAAAATGCTCCAGGCTGCTTTTGCCCTACCACGCAATCTAATGACAGTAGCTGTTCCATAATAAGTAATCGAAGTATTCAAGTTCAAAATGAAAATCAATACAAAATAGATATAAAACTTCAAGAATCAAATTCAGATGTAAATCGAAATAAAAAAGCACTTATCTGTACTTGAACTGCTGACGAATTCCCCCAATCTCGCCGGTGCCTCCAAAATTGTTTACGTACCTCGTATTAGAATGGCGCCGAAATGGATGACGCAGTTTCGACTTTTTAATATCCTTAATAAATTCAGACCTCTCGGTCTATTTAAACCAAACTGAATACATTTAATAATAAAACATTCATACGTAAACATTTAGCAATAATTCAGCAGTACAGATAAGCATTAATGTAGGAATTACAACAGTTACAGGCCAGCTACGCATTTAGCGACCGAATTCTACGAACGACAAATCTCAAAAGCGTGTTGCCAACGCAGGGCAACGAAAAGGTGGAAATTAATTCGATAGGCGTGGAAGTGAACAGAATGTTTAAAACTCTCAAACGCATAAGTTAGACTTCAAGCGATATTTTTATGTCAACACTCAAAAGTAGCTGGTAATTCGGAATTCACAGCTTTTATTTTAAATTCTAATAATGGCTCAAATTATTGCTAATAAAAAATTTATTGAAAAACCAAAAATTCTATGACAAGTACAGTTCTATTGATAATGAAACCAAAATCTTTGAGGCAAAATCATATATTGAACAAAAACAAAATTTGGAAAATTCTGTTCCTTCAGATAACTTACCATTAAGGTTTCGACATGAGATGTTCCTTTAAAAACAGCAAATTGATATCTACCACTAACTACAGCATCTCTCAACTCTTGAACTGTTCTCAATGGTCTTTCTACGGCGGGAACCATAAGGAAAGACAGAAGAGTGCTTGTATAGCTAAAAACCAGAATTAGTTTACAGATGGACCAGATAGTAAGGAAAAAACGAACAATTCGATTTCTGTACAATCTATAGGACCCTGAAAAAGCAATGCAAAATAAGTAGATATTATTACATTCATCGAAGTGGACCATGAAAAAGGAGACCAGCTTTCAACACAGTATCGCTGTATTTGGAAAAGGATGTAGCTCCTTCTCTATCCGGCATTTGGTATAGCCGAATAAAGAAGGGTTCCAGCTTTATTATGCCTTCCTATCCATTCTTTCTCTATACATCATGTCAGAGATATAGTGTACATCTTGTCATGTTATTGCTAAAGGAAAGCTATTTGGCTATTTTTTCGTGGTCCACCCTATACATACTATATTTATATTAGTAAGCAAAAGCATAATCTCTACTTTTGAAATACTTCGGGTGTTACATAAAACACAAATGGAATAAATATCTGTAAAATGTTTCCTTCAGTATACATGTTTTGTGAGATTACATGGCACGAGGAAAGATAGAATAGCAGACAAAACATAATTACTAAAACAGAGGCATAACGACTGACAGATAGGTTATGTGTTTCATGAAATTACAGCAAACATACAGAGCCTAAAAGATTTTTGAAATGATTTAAATGATTATCCGCTGCAATCTTCTCTTACGGATTTCGCAGAGAAAAATTAAATATTCTGAAACGCCATTACAGAGCCGTGCGATCATGATAAACCAGAATATAGTAAAACTGAGATTCAAATCATGTAGTAGCATGGTTAGTTGAATCTAAGTTTTAGTTGTTTCGTGCAGACAAGAAAATTAGAGTGAGTAGATTTCAGTCTAGCTTTTTTGTCAGGTCTTTGCTGTGATGTAGAAGAATGGTTAATTTCTAGCACTCTTAGCAATTTCCTCTCTTATGTATGAATTTAATTATTCATTCGCAAGACCTTAATTTCAAAGCTATATTTTTTTATTTCTACACATGTTTCAAGCTTTATAGTTTAATGTGTACTATTACTTTTAACATATTTCTTATATTTTTTATTGATATCTTATTTATTTTCCTTAACCGTAATTACATTACTAATTTTTACTGTTTATTTCATTTTATACAGATCGTTCTTCATAGTTTTTAACTGAATTTCTTATATTTCCTAACAATATATATGACCTTTACTTAATTTCAGATGTAATTTTTAATTTCATTCCTATCTTTTAATATTTGAAATTTTTAACACATTCTGAATGTTAACTAATTTGCAATATTTTACGAGCGTAATTATTCAAATGCACGCTTTTTGTTTATCATATTATTTAATTTGAGACGTAATTTTCTTCTGTTGCGTGCGTACGGGTTCGTTATGAAATGAATGCACAAGTCCGATAAAAAAAAATGAACAAAAATTTATTATTATCACAACAAAAATGCTTAAATTTTCTCAAATTATCACGCAGTATTACAATATCTCACAGTAGTTTTCTTTTAACTACTCAAATGTCCAATAGAACGTAATTCAAAATAGCTAAAGAACGCTAATCCGCGAATTCGCTACAATCAACAAGAGCAGTATTCTAAGCAACAACAAACTAAGCAACTACTACAAACTGAGATGTTTTCCTCCTTTTATAAGATTTTAAAATCACGCGCTAGAATTTTCCAGTACTTTCTCGAAATCAAAAAGAGATATTTATTTATTTAATGCACGCGCTCTCTGTATTTTCAATTTTCCGGCTTAGCTTTCTTTTAATATTCGTCACGCGCTGCACTGCGCGAGAAATAAAACCATTTAATTTATAATTGAACTAACATTAGCTTTTTAAATACCAAATTCGTAACACTGCCCCCTTCCCAAGGACTGCACGTCCCGGGCAGTACAATCCCTGGACAGGAAGCTAAACGACAACTGTGGCATAAATGCATTAATAAGCATTACATTACAATAATAAACAACATGAACAATAAATGCAATACATAAAACAAATCAAATGCTATCAAATACAAATCAAATACACATTTAAAAACAAAATGGACCATGGTCTTATACTATTTACAATTATTTACATTATGTAGTATGGCCATAGCAATGAGCTAACCTGTCGTAATGAACGACTTTAGGTTTAGAGTTCGAAGACTTACGAATCATGACGTCATTCGGTCTCTTCAGGACTGTATATGGACCATCCGAAGGTGACTGTAATTTAGAACTGCGTTCTCTTCGTTGAATCGGGTTCCACAACCACACCTTGTCTCCTTGTTTGAATTTATGTCCAGTAGCTCTCGTGTCGTATGTGGTCTTCACCTTCTCCGTCGCCAAGTTCACTCGCTTTCGTGCGGAACGGTGCATAACTTCAAAACGGGCCTGGACATCTTGGATGTGTTCCTCAGGCGATGAAGGAGCATCCGTACGGCGATCAAACAGGCGGTCACAAGGCAGACGAAGGTCTCGACCGAAGAGCATCTGGGATGGAGAAGAGCTGGTAGTCTTGCGTTTCTTTTTGGCACTAGTACGATTTCGGCAGCTTCCTGAGCTGGGTCTTTCGGACAAAGCGTCGGCATTTCTAGGTGAGGATGCCTTTTGAGGATGGATAGTCATGCCATCAGATGCTGAAAGCAGTTTGTTGTTTTTCAAGTCTAGGGGAAAATTGTATTTCCTTAAAAAAGTCCAATCCGAGTATGCATGGATCTGTGATATCCGCCACATAAGCCGTGTGATGGTAGGCGGCACTTCCAAACGTGATTTTCACGTTTAACTTCCCAGCTATCTCGATCTTGTCACCAGACGCAGTCTGAAGGGTAACACACGATGGCGTCCAAATAAGTTTATCTTTAAACTGTTCAGCTAAATCTTTCCTAATGATGGTAACATTAGCTCCTGTGTCAATGATCATATTGCAAGGAACTCCATCGATATTCCCATTGATAGACAGTCCGTTATTGTTGCCACTCACTATAGAGATCTTAAGCGCTTTAAAAAACAGGGTTTTCATTATCTGGCAACCTCCGTTCCTTGATATGGTCATTAATTTGTTTCCTGCGTTGTTGCTCAGAACAGAAATTGTCTCAATTTTCGTACACTGGGGTGTTCTGCAATTCTTTGGTACGTGGCCTCCAGCTCCACAGTTCCAGCACTTTGGTTTCTTGTCAGTCCTTTTCCTTCCCAGTGGCATTTAATTGTTTGTTTAAATCGTATGCCTTATTTTCCGGGCTCTGGGGAGGGTTCTGCAGTTCCTTCGTTAGGTGGCCTTCAACACCGCAATTCCAGCACTTTAGGGTCGGTTTCGTTTCACCACTATTCCGTCTTAAAGCATTCACTGGTCTTGTCAACTCATCCGTTTTATTATCCGTGCCCCTGGGGTGTTCTGCAATGCCGTCGTAGGTGACCTTCAGAACCACATCTCCAACAAATCTTACAGCCACTTTGTTCTCACTGCTACTCCGTATCAAAGCATCGACTTGTCTGGATAAATCATCTAAACGAGCCATCAATTGATCCACTGGCTCGTGGACTCGCACAGCTCTGACTGGGTTCTCCGAGTCGATCTCTAATCTCTCCGAGTTGCTTGCTGGGCTGCCTCGAATTTCACGGCGTACAACAGAGAGCTTTTTACAAACCTTTAACATTCTGCCATTCGAAGAGAGCTTTCTGTATTTCAGGATCCCGGATGCCGTCGATAAAGTATTGCAAGGACATAGGATTTCCCTTGTTTCTGTCGGGCATTCTGAAAAGGCGAGATGGGACAGCTTTTCAACATCCGTGGCGAACTCCTGAAGTGTTTCGGTGAGCTTCTGTTGACGAGATTTTAATTGGAGCCTGCTGTAGTCTTTTAAACATTCCTCGCCGAAGCGCAGCTCCAAAGCGCCGGATAGAGCTTCGAAATCTAGCCTTTGATTTTCGGGAAGCGTCTGCAGGATATCCGCTGCGTCTGCTCTCAGAGAAGCGGCGAGATGACAGGCCTTAGCTTGGGAATCCCATCCATTCGCATCCGAAACGATAGAAAATTGTGTTTTATACACTTGCCAGGAGGTCTTCCCATCATATGTGGATAGCTTCAGAGGTGGACGAGCAGGCATTGGTAAGAATTTAAAATCATCACTCCTGCTCCCTGCCGACGCTACGAATTTCTTTAAAGTATCCATTTCTTTGGCAACTGCAGAAACTCTCTCATCAATTTGTTGTTCGATTTGGTGTTGGACGGCACAAACTCTTCCTTCAATTCGTTCCTCCACAGCAGAAACTCTCCCTTCTATATGTTCTTTTACAGAAGAAACTCTTTCTTCATTTCTTCTTTCACCGAAGAAACTCTTTCTTCAATATGATCTTTTACGGAAGAAACTTTTTCTTCAATATGTCCAACTTTATTTTCAACTGCGTCAATTCTTTCTGCCTTCCATAGCTTCAAATTTATTTTCTATTATGCAAGTAATTTCTCTTTTCATTTCTTCTTGACCAGCTTGAACGGCTTTCATTTCGTCCTTAACGGATTCCTGGCCCAATTTCATTTCTTCCTTAACGGATTCCTGGCCCAATTTCATTTCTTCCTTAACGGATATTTGACCAGCATCCATTTTCTCTTTAATTTCTTCTTTAAAAGATGTTTGGCCAGCTTCCATCTTTTCTTGTACAGCTTTTATATCTTTCTTGACGGAGTTGACGGCTCCTTCCATCTTTTCTTGGAAAGCAGCAAATGCAGTCATCAATTGCCTGAATTGTTCTTCCATCGCTCTTGTTTATTGGCATTCAAATCCCACTTCTGACACCAAAAATTGTTGCGTGCGTACGTGTTCGTTATGAAATGAATGCACAAGTCCGATAAAAAAAATGAAAAAAAAATTTATTGTTATCACAACAAAAATGCTTAAATTTTCTCAAATTATCACGCAGTATTACAACTCACAGTAGTTTTCTTTCAACTACTCAAATGTCCAATAGAACGTAATTCAAAACAGCTAAAGAACGCTAATCCGCGAATTCGGCAGAAAGAGCAGTTTTCTAAGCAACAACAAACTAAGCAACTACTACAAACTGAGATGTTTTCCTCCTTTTATAAGATTTTAAAATCACGCGCTAGAATTTTCCAGTACTTTCTCGAAATCAAAAAGAAATATTTATTTATTTAATGCACGCGCTCTTGTATTTTCAATTTTCCGGCTTAACTTTCTTTTAATATTCGTCACGCGCTGCACTGCGCGAGAAATAAAACCATTTAATTTATAATTGAACTAACATTAGCTTTTTAAATACCAAATTCGTAACACTTCCTTTTTAACATAATTTTGCTTTATGGTTTCTTACATACCTATAATTTTAACTAGTTTTTTATGTTTTCTGTTTATGATACGATATTTATTTTACTACTTACACTTAATTGCATATAATTTTTCGCATGTTTAACTTTCCTAAACATAGAGACATTTAACATTTAACATTACTATTGTTAATTAATTTTCGTATATAATTCATTTAATCATCCTTACTTAGTCTATATTTTATAGTACTATTTTAATTTACATGTTGTGCAATTTCTCAATCTATAATAGTCTTAACCATGACAATTTTACTATTTTACTTCATTTAGGTACTATTATTAATTTATTTGTATTTTCAAGTTTTATAATTTCCTGCACATTTAAATATTTCCTAATAATTTTTAATATCACTTATATTTGAATGCATGCTTTTTAAGCTCTTCGATGTTGCCAATGTTTAATTTCGAACCTCGATTGCCTTTAAACTAGCTTGATATATTCTGAATTTTTAGAATGAAAATATATTCTGAACTTTCCTCTATAATTTTACAATCATATTTTCTGTTATACGTACTTATAGAGAAATTTTTCCTATTATTTTAAACGTTTAACATTCAGTCTATGTTTTAAAATTCAATACTTGCGCTAAATGACTGCATCAATACCATTATTTCTTCATTTAACATGCCCGGACTATGCAAATTTTACTTTATTATATTTCTCTTGCACTAATTATGGATATTTCTTCTTTCATGGACATCTTTCAAGAGAAACTAACAATTATTTACAAACATACAAAGAAACACAATTATACCTGCAAATTATACGTACAAAGAAATTCATAAGATCAACATTTTCAAATCGAATCAGAGGTGAAATACCCAGTGTTCAACGAATTTTCTTCCATTTCATCTCTTGAAATTTTGTTTTATTGTTCTACTTTTATTTCTAACACATAATGTCAACACTTTTATTCGAACTTAATTCAGTACCAACCTAATTCACTAGCCATCCTCATGTACAGTCTACTTAATAATTTCTTATATTGCTTATATTCTTTCATGAATGATGTTCACTTTTCATTAATTTATTTGTCAATGCATTTTCTTATGAATGACTGCTATACCTTTATTAAAGACTGCTATACCTTTACACAACATACGATTACCAATATACATGTATATATAAAAGAAACAGTAAGAGATATTTTACCAAAATCTATGTCATAATTTCGAATAATTAAACTTTCATCCACCCCTAATGCAGAAATTTCTTCATAAAATCATTATCTTACCACCTAATATTACTTATTAATACCCATTTAATGAGGAATACTCCTTTTCAGTACAAAATTACACCCAAATAATGCTCCGTTATCTTATAATTCTACGTATAAGTTTGAAATACGGGAACCTACGCGTTTTCGAGAAGGGCAATTTAATTAATGTTGCTAAATGTTACCTTTTTCCAAGACGAAAAGTCTAAAGACTAACTAAATCATTCATATTTAACTGCATTACATACTATCTTAATACAGAATACCCCTCTTAAAACTATTTTCTTAATATTGAGAAACAAATACCAAATAAGCATGTTCCCCTGTACAATATTTACTGTTTTACCAAAATGAGGTTAGAACTTTTACCGAATTTAAGTTATTTGTCAAGTCACGCAGAATTTCCAAGAAGTTTTAGAAAATCTGCTATAGAAATCAATTATATTTACCTAAAAATGAGCCTTAATAGATTCTTATCGTCTTCAGATTGAAGTTCATTTTATCTAGAATTTTCAGTATACAGATAAAATTCATGAATCATTTTGTAGCAAAATCAGCATTTTAGATACATTTAACTAACCTTAATTAATTTTCAATTACGATTTTTAAAGCATATTTTATATTACTAGATTAGTCCCAAGCATTATTGGGGTGAAATGCAGTTAAATATCAGTACTCAAAATGTTAAAAAATCCCACTCATTAGGAACAGTAAAATTTTGCCTATTTTTTAATGAAAAGTAAAATCTTGTAATGCATTACTATAAAACTTGAGTAACAAATCAGTTCCTATAAGCAGTATAAGGTAAAAAATACTTTTATGATAACTTATCAAACTTTAGTAAGTAAGAGTAAGGTAAATACATATTCATTTAAAACCTAATAAGAAACTGTCGCTATTAAAAAATTAAAATAAATGTGGTATTATAAACAGAAAATATAATAAATAACTTAAAATTAAGAATTTACTAGAAATTATAAAGGGGAAAAAATTAAAGTAAGAAAATTACATCGAAAATTAAATAACATGATAAATAAAAAGAGTATATTTGAATAATTACGTTCGTAAAATATAATAAAAACGCTAAAATCAGAATATTTCAAAAATTTCAAACGTAATTTTAAAGAGTGCGAAAGAAGTTAAAAATTACACCTAAAATTAAATAAAGATTATATGTGTGGTAAAAAAATATAGAAATTAAGTTGAAATTATGTTGTATGTTGGAAATTACAAACGTTAAAATGTACAAAAGAAGTTAGAACTTACATTTAAAATTAAGTTAAAGTCATGTATATGGTGCGAAAATATAGGAAATAAGTTAAAATTAAGAAATACACTGAAAATTATTAAAATAGTAAAACTATCAAAAAGTTTAAACTAATTGTTAAAAATTAAATAATATGCAAAATTAGAAGAGTGCATTTCAATAATTATTCTCGTAAAACATACAAGTTAGTTAAATTTCAGATTATGTTAAAAATTATAAAGATTAAAACGTAGAAGTTAAAAATTACATTTAAAATAAAGTAAAGGTTACATATACGATCAAGAAATATGAGAAATAAATCAAAATTAGAAGCATGTTGGTTAAAAAGTATGAAAAACGTTCTGTGTAAAATGAAATAAACAATTAAAATTAGTGATGTAATTGAGATTAAGGAAAATAAATATGCTGTTATAAATGGAAAATATAAGAAATACTTTAAAATTAGAAGTTCATAAAGACTATAAAGCCACAATTAAATTAAAATTTTGGCTCTAAAATGAATGCCTATCAAACCAGTAATTAAATTCGTACATAACAGCGAATATTGCTGAGGGTACATAGGAATTAACCATTACATATGTAATAAAAAACACGGAGCTGGAATACGGAAAAAAAAAAAAAAAAAAAAAAGGCTAAACAAAATCTTAAAATTAAATCTAAATACCGCTGAAAAATCAATAAAAGATAATCTCTTATCAAATCATCAAATCGCGAAGCCATCATATCAACTAAATTAACAATCATAAAAAGCTCATCCTTATCAGTTAGCTGCACTTCGGCGTGCGAGCTCATCCGCAATCTGCCTGCGGGCGTGCACCATGCACCGCTTCCTGCCTTTGAACCGGCTGTTTCATACTGCTGGTTCCAAAAAGGGATTACTCATTTCATTGACTCATGATTTGGCTTCTTTAGTCATCTTATACGATCCCACTGTATTATTTCTGAGTAACAATGAAAACAAGTCTACGATACGAGGGCGAAATATTTATTATTTAAAAAAATTTTCTATATTACAGAAAATGTGGACGATTATATTTCGAGGGGAAAATAAACAATTCGTGGACTCTGTGCCCAGAAACTGAGGCTGAAAGCTGATATTTCGAGGTGATCTATCTCGTTAACAGACGTCTCCGGTGCATTTTATTTCATGTCTTCAAGTTAAGATTAAATAGTATTTATTTCTATTTAAAAATAAAATCAAATGTTTGATAATTTTTAAAAGAGACGTTTCTCATAAAATATAGATTCCAACAACGAACACCGTAACAGTACGTCATAAATGGCACGTTAAAATACAGAAATATGTTATTTCAAAGATAGATTTTTTCTTAAAGAAACTTATAGTAGAAAATACAAAATCATGATATAAATTAGACAGAAAATACTTTAGGAATATTCTGAAGATAAATATAACGTGAGCTTCATTAATTACGTCAAACAGCCTTAAAAATGTCCCACAATAAATTGAAAATTATAAGGAAAATGGCTTCTCGGACTCGAGACAGAATTGTGGAAAAAAATTCTTCTCCGACTCTATGGGTTTCAAAAGTGGGTCTAATCCGAATAACTGATAAAAAATTTACAGTAGGATTTGACAACGTAGCGCCTGCAGGGCTGGAGATGCATTTCAGATATGTCCCCTTTCCTCCCATCTCAAAACATGCATGAATAAATACAATAACATGAATAAATATACATATTTGAGAATATATTCTGTTTATTTATTACTACACGATTGTAATTAGAAAGCTATCTTAATATTTTTTGTAATTAAACTACGCGCCCTCGATGGTTCTTAAAATTGTTATTGCATTTTTACTAACAAAACGGTTGCTAATCGCTGAAGTTATACGTACGTTAATCTAAAGAGTACAAATCCAAGTACTCGAAAACACACATGCCTATATTTTTTTAAAAAGAAAGAAAAATTTAAGCCAGTGTGATAGCGTTAAAATGGCTAAAAGAGCGGATTGCTCTCGAGCATGTAATTATTCAATTAAAACTTAACAAAAACAGCAAAAGTGAAGTGTAATCTCAATTACCATTTCTTTAGTTTTGCAGTTTTAATTTCGATCAAAAGCAGATACAAACTCTTATTTCGAAATTTAATGTTCTTATTTTCCAATTAAATTATTACAAGATTTTTATTATGATCATACAACACATTATATACAGAAACAATAGTCTTAAATCATATTTTAGAAACAAACCTTGGCTTAAAAACATTATAAGAAGTGTTTCTGTTTCTTTCAACCAGGTTTTCCAGAAATTTCTTTCCTTCCGATTTGACAGTACACCGTACTCAGTCAGTAATGTCAATGTAATGGACGAGAGAGGTATCGAAAATAACAGCAAGGCCCACACCTGAAAGAATTGATGTGTCTTTATATGAACAATTGGTAGCACAGATTTAAGTTTATATTACAAATAGCTTACACAATTCTAATATATTTTATGCTCACATGTCTTGCTAAGCATCAAAAGACCGATGTCAGCCAAAAACATAGCGGAAGAAAACAAAATTAACGTAAGGGGGAAAACATCACCGTACAAAACATCGTGGGAGAAAAGAAAGCTGGAGAAAAATTGCAGTTCTAAAACATTGCTATATAAAGCATCGTGCTAGAAAATTAAGCAATGCAGAAACTTCGCAGTTTTAAAATATCTTCATAAAAAATATAAATAAAAAATAAAGCACTTACAAATCATTGCATGATATAATAACATCGCAAACATGCATTTTCCGACTGTAAGAAGAAAACTTAAGCATTCAGAAGCTGGAAATTACTAAAACTGAATGCTACATATAGTAGTCAATGTAATTTTAAACTTAAATTTCTGACTATCAAAAGTCATTATTTAATTAACATCTTTTAAGACATATTAGTAAATTTTCATGAAAAGTTATAGCATAAAAGAGACTAAAAAAGGAAGGTACGCACGCTTAAAATTCTATTAACTGCTATTCGTAGTATTAATTTTTATTAATTTCCAAATTTTTTATGCTAAAGTTTCCTTGTTGCCTTTTCCTTCCTTGCTATGTTTTTCAAAAATTCATCAGTTGATATAAAATATATGAAAAATAAAGGTAAAAATATTGCTTGTTGATTCTTGTATTCATAAACCGTTTCACGAATATTCACTTAAACAACATTTTTCAGTCAGAGTAGGTGTTTTTTTTTTTTTTTTCCCGCGAAATTTTGTATGAGATGTTTTAAAACTGCGATGTTTTTGTCACCGCTTTATTTTCTACCATGATATTTTAGAAGTGCGATACTTTCTTCTTGTCTTTTCTCCCACGGAGTTGTGAATGATGACATTTTCCTGGTGCGTTGTTTTCTCCGCGTTGTCCTTAAGCAAAAGACTTCTCACGTATAAAATAGCTGAGGCTGAGGAATATTCTCTCTCTCTCTCTATATATATATATTTTACTGAAATTCTTATTTGAAAAACTCCGAAACTTCATTAATTCAAAGAAATATGCTCACCATGGTTTGAAAAGGGTCAACAAAAGCGAAATCCTTCTGCAGAAGTTGGGGAGAAGCAGTGACGAAGATATTTGCATCCACAAGGTAAGGAAATGAAAAGTCAACCACTTGGTGACGAGCATACGTTGTTGCAACCCATCCTAGCGCCATATCCATTTCCTATAGTTGGGAATAAAGCATAAGTATAAATTAACACTAATATGAATTTCATAATATAATATTTAAGCACTAGAATGCTATATAAACTCTTCTGGAGACATTTTAGTTTTAAGAATTCGCTTACAGTTTTCAGCCAACGAGTTACGAAGGAATACAAAAATGATGCCGATTTCCTTGTTTTCCTATTGTAATAACTTTGTGGCAGCAACATTTCTTTTGCGTCGAGGAAGCACTTTGACATTTTTCTTTGCTACTACATATCAAGTTCAATATCACTTGTTAATATATTCCAGTATGATCAATAAAAAAGCTTAATATTTCATTAAAACATAAATTTCACTTTTTTACGTTATGAAATTTCGGAAACATGCTACAGTTTTTTTTTTCGGGGGGGCGGGAGAATTAGAGAATGTATAAATCCTCATGTTTCCAAAGCGATCAACTATAACCTCTCTTGAAAATTTAGTTATAAAATCTTTAAAAAGCACAAAATTTTTCTCATCTATTTATAGCAAATGATTAAGAAATTAAATTAGAGCTAGGCTGAATTAAGAAATTTAATTAGAACTTTATGATATGTTAGTATTATAAAACTCTATGATATATTAATATCTTCGTTATTCTTCACCTGTTTTACATGAAATGAATATTCTGAGGTCGCAACAGTGATATTCAAAACTTGATTCCAAAAATCATTTTGTAAAGTTCTTTAATAAAACAACAGAACGTTTGGCATATAAAATCATGTAATCAGAGGTACAATAAACATTAAGTTACAAAGGAATTATGTACATACAAGCATTTTGAGTGCACGATTGTCGTATGTAATACAAGACTCTGAATTCATAGAGTAGTCTATATTATAAAACATTTGATGTGAAATACGATTATCTGTTACGGATATACACAATATTCATATGCGTATGTTTCATCATGAGTCACTTTCAAAGTTTCAAAATCTCATGATTCGAGTTTGAAATCAAACACACCCTCCAATCTGCTGACAGAGGAACTTTGAACCATCACTATATTTTTCAACCAAAGCAAGAAAATACTATGCCTGATGTGTTACTCAAACATTAGGTTTTTTTGGAAGCAGGCAAGATGAAAAATGAGCAATCCGTCCTCGCCGGGAATCGAACCACGGACCTCTGGAATACCGGCCTAGTGTTCAGAACCACTACACCACGAAGGCACGCTAGAATGGCGGGAAAAATACCTTATAAGATAACCATTTCTAAAAGCCATATATAATTTTTAATTATGTTCAAAACATAATTTTCATAAGAAAAAAAAGGTGTTAAATATCAACAACAGTCAAACTACCCAAGGCGACCATTTCAACAGATTAAAATCTTCCGTAGTATAATCTTCATACATTCATATAATACAAGTTTTCTTGTAATCGTATGACATTAACTAAATGTAATTATGACTTTTGAATAGTAAAAAACTAAATCGCTTGAAGTTTTCTGTAATAAAAGCTTTTCTTTCCCTTTTACCTCACAGCTCTAGCATCAAATCAAATTCTGCAAGCAAAGAACTTAACAACAAGAAAGATTTTATGTTAATTAACCAGTTATTATGAGTTGAACCTTTACTATAAATTCTTCTTTCCGTAGTTCTCGCCAGAATGCAAATTAATTCTTTTGTATATTTAAGTTGAAATTTTGAAATTTCAGAATTAGAGCTTTTGGCAGAATCGTCTTGCTTCTAATAAAGTCTGAAGCAGCTTATATCAAAATCTTGCATATCCTACTAGACTGATAGCGAGTTATCGGTTAGTCTGAAACAAATCACAAACTCTAAAGAAGGTTAAAATAATCGTTTTAAGTCTTAAAATGAACAGAAAGGTTTCTCTTGTACACAGATGCATTTCCGTTACTTGCGTGAATTTAAATTAACATAAGATAATGTTAAAATTCAAAAGTAGGTAACGTTGCCGGAGACTGCCCATAAAATAGACCACTTAAGCAGGCTCAAGACGTAAGGCATTTTCTCCGTCCTTCCAGCATGCATTCGTTGTAACGGTAGTAGGCTCGGCGCTTATTCGAGAGGTCCAGGTTCGAGTCCTGGCTAGGGCATTTCTCATTTTTCACGTCTCTAGAATTAAAAAAAAAAAAAAAAAAAAAAAAAAAAAAAAAAAAAAAAAAAAAAACTAATGACTTTACAGTGGCGGCGCCCAAACTAAGAAAAAGGTGGTGGATGATAATTCGTCACCATCAGGATTTGGCGATTGTGCCCCTTAATCCCTAGTCACCATTTAAAAGGGGGAGTATATAAGATATTTTCTCTCTCTTCCCAGCATGCTTCCGCTGTGTAACGGTAGCACACTCAGCGCATATTCGAGAAGTCCAGGTGCGAGTCCTAGCGAGAGCATTGCTCATTTTTCACTTCTCCAGCACTTAAAAACCTAATGGCTTCATAAAGATACTTAACAGCGCGTATTCTAAATTTTGGATAACAAGTCGCTACCGCTATGAGTACTAAGTTCACTTGGGGATTAAACACTGGGACTCCTGCGACAAGCTGACCACTTGTTCAGGGCATATGCTTACGCACCCCGGTCGTAAAGTCGCTAAAGTTGGAATACAGCTTTGGTAGAGCTGGCGATAGTAGGTAACAGCAATACGCGGCTGCCAGAACTCCCTCTTCAAGAACCCAAACCTTCAAGCCCTCAGCTTAAGTACACAAACAACTAATTTGCATTTTGGTGAGAACTATGGAAAGGAGCAGATATAATAAAGGTTTAAACATAATAATTAGTTAATTAACATAAAATATGTTATAAACTTTGCAAGGTTCCATTATGCTAATCTAACCAGTTATTATGATTTAGATCTTTACGTCACTTCTCCGTTTTGTTTCCCTACGAGAATGCAAATCAGTTTAGTTGGAGAGAATTTAAGGTGAGGTTTTTGGATTGTAAGACAGAGCATGTTTCTGCCTCTCGAGGCCGCGTTACTAAGTTTCGCCAGCTCTGATAAGATTATAATGGTTCGGCTTTGCATTATAGTTGGCGATATTTAATTGTTACGCTGGTGAGAAGTTTGAACCAACTTCGCGTTGAATCAATAATGTAGCCTTTGGCTACTAGACTTAGTTTAAAATTTGAATTTGACTGTTACTTGAAGTTATATCTTTACAATTGCTTTGTAAGTAAGAAACGTACTTTAAGTTCAAGTTCTGACTGAATAAAAAGGTTTACTTTTAAACCTTCTTAGGTCCTGAAGTTATTTTCTGGCACAGCAATAATTCGCTCTAAACCTGCTAGGAATTCAGATTTAGTTTATGCTACCAAAGAAGACCAAACTCAGTATTTTATGCTTCTAACGAATACCAAACTTAGTATATCACATAGCAAATGATACCAATCTTAGTACATCACATAGCAAAAGAAAGTTAGAATACCTAAAAGTAAGAAATTAACTCTTGCAGATTCATTTATAAGAAATGATTCTGATTATGCAAATGAACTAGAAATGTTTAAAAAGACGAGCGAACACAGAAACAAGCAATCAGTTTTCGAAAATACACATAAATAAAAAGGCATTATTCTCAAGATTTAACTAATTTTCATTTATTAATAAAATACCGAATCTCTGGTTCTCTCTCTGTGACATAATTAATGATATAAATATATAACTTTTACAGTTTTACATAATTATAAAATTAGTAAAATCCAAACAAAAATTGCTGTTTTATTTGCATTTGAGTTGCTATAAATGTGTTACACATACTTTCCTACACATCATGCCGATCATTCCCGTCCAGTTTCCGGTGTCGTCCAAATTTCCCCATAAATAATCTTCACGGTTTATAAGATCATAGCTGAAATACAATAACGTGATTAAGTGAACATAAATATTAAAACGGTATACATTTTCAGTTCCTACAAGAAAAAGATACTTTAAAAATTATAAGTTACATTCTTTTGCCTTTTCTTAAAGTGTCTGTTTATCAAATAAGAGAAAGATAACATTTTCAGTCTCGCAATGAGTATTTGTTTTTTAATTTTATGAGTGAGACAGATATTAAAATTTTTATTAATAATGTCGTTTTAATACATAAACTCTACAGTCTAATAACGTTATTTTCTTTACTACAGTTTTTTAATGTTTACAAATAAAACCATGGTTTATCTCACAGTAAAATACATGGACGACCGTAAAATACATGGAGATTAGCTACATTGAGTCGCTCATATTTCTGATCATTCATTAAAATGAAAAAAAAATTGGCATACTAGTTTAGTACTTCGTAGGTCCTGGTTGATTTCCTTTATTATTTCAGAAATATAGTACTTCATAGATAAATCCTGATGTGCTTATTCCCTGCTATAATAAAGTGAGGTGGAAAAAATATCTTTCAAGAATGTTAAAAAAGAAATGTATTAACTCACGGCACGTCTGTCAGCTAAATCATTAATTCTTCTATAACGCAGTTATGCCATTACTACCCGATCATCGGTTCAGGCACAAAGATTCGCAATTATCTGGTATCCGCGCGAATTAGCTAGCCCGGTGTAACAGTGTTGAAGGTTTTCTAACACTTGTGAGTTTGTAATACATACCAGCAGGTTGAAGATGTGTATAATGATAATAGAATTCAAAAGTCATATCATGAGTTCCAGGTTGAAACTCTCCTCCTAACTTCATCAATTGAAGATGGCATAGAACTGACAGAAACTATAAACTACTCCTAACTGCTACCAGAGAAGTGTGGCTAGGAAAATCTGGGAGTGTTCACGGCCTTCGGCCATTTTCTGTTTTCATGAGCACAATAATCATAATTCGGTATAAGAATATTTACATAGTGTTATTTACATATATATAGTATTATTTACATCCGGGATTTCAAAGATGTCAACTATATGTTTTAAATATCTCACTACCGGAAACACCTTCACACACGACTGACAGAAATCTCTCTTCGTCAAAATCTTCACTCCACCACAACTAATAATTATTCTTATTTTCCTTACATATACACATGTAACTTGATAACCTTATATACTATATATAGTATATAAGTACTATATATAGTATATAAGTATAACTATAAGTGAATATATATATAGTATATAAGTACTATATATAGTATATAAGGCGTATATACACGTACATATACTATATATAGTATATAAGGCGTATATACACGTACATATACATGCAAGAATTTTTACGAAATCTTGCATGCACGGCTCCCAAAAAGTTACGAATTTGCTTCCTACGTGATTTTCATGGTCGGTAATTCATTATCAATGTGAGCAACTTTACTCTTTTTGTTAAAAGGTTCAAATCCCTAGTGAGTTCCAGATTAATATACATTCATCTGAATTCTGGAGTCGATAGTGGAGTCTGAGGAAGGAAGTCTGAGGGAGTGCGAGCAACATGTCTCCAAACATCCGAAAGGTGATTGCAGGAGAAATATGTCAGGTGTCGGGAACGAAGCAATAGGTAGTCATCTAATACCAGTATTTCCTAATATTCCTTTTATTCTTGAAAGAATTACAGTACTAAATTAAATTTAGTTATTCACTTATAGTTATAGTTATTCACTTTTTAAATACACCGTTAAGTATCAAAGTAGCCTCTTTTCCCTCTTGTGACCTGCACTATTGTACACTGATGACTATTTGGTCTACTTGAGGTACTGAATTTGACATGCCTGATCTGCATCAAATACATGGCTCTACATCGCTGTTTCATAAAAACCTGGCTACTAAATAAATTATGTTTGTATTAATTTTAGATATTTTACGAGTCTTCTGCTTTAATGTATCGCTAAATGTTTTTAAACAAAATTTTATTTTAAGCATTAACTACCGTTTAATATTTACATCTCATGCAAATGACTAGATAATTTTTAATACAGAAATTTTTCTAAATCTTTACGCGACATTTATTGAGCAGTTTGGATACATTTTTTAATGAACTGCGTAACAGTCCTAAACAACAATACTAAGCAAATTTGAGATAAGAATGACTTTTACATATTGATCCAAACAGATTTATAATCTTAATATACGAAAGATCGAAAGTCTGTTGCAAAGTGGAAAATATATAAAAATAAAAAAGTCAGTGACATTGAAACATTGACAAATCCACACATATCTTTGATTCTAACAAAAATGGAAACGGAATGTAAAGAGACTCTACAGAATTTTTTAGTATGAAATCATACCTGAAAGGAAGATAATCAGATAATACTTTAAGTATGAGTTGGTCAGCTCCGCCTGTTGCTTCAAGAGTACCATCTTCTCTTTTCTTCATTTCAAAAAGTGGGGTAGTCTTAAATGAAAGACTTATAAGCATATTCAGAAAAATTTATAAAATAGTAAAAACACAAACTTGAATCTAAAGTAAAATCATATTCAAATTCATAATTTACACGTCTGTTACTACTCATTATGCTCAGTGTCTACAAAATTTTACGAGTAATTTCGAACAAAATCGAAAACTGAAGTAATCAACATTCGTACGTTTTTGCTTAAGGTATAATTAGTATAGTTTACACAACGGTTGGGAAGTTCATGCAGCTGCTGAATAGAGCTTACTGAACTTCTTTTCGAGAATTTTACGGTTAAGGTTTTCTGAACATTATTAATTAATTAATTCCTCAGTATTATTAATCAGTTAACTACCCTGGATGAACGTACTCGTAAACAACAGTCAACACGGTCTTTCATACTCGTCAGTTTAATTAGCAATATCTGTAGTAGGATATTCTATGATAGGACTATCTACAATTAGTTATCGCTACAATTTTAGCTGTAGAACTATCTATAATTATTATTGCACTTGATTTCTGTTCACGTGAGATGTATTATCTCTTGATAATCTGAATTTTGAAAAGTTATTTTTGATTACTAGTGTCCACCAGTGGCAGAATGGGCAAGATCACTGATCACACCGTCGTTTAATCCTTACAGCAATGTCGGAAAGAAGGGGAGATACCAAAACGCGGAGGTCAATAATGTTTCTGGTTAGGTTTAATTTTAGGGAGGAGAAAGTAATCTTCAGATGCTAAAGGAAGAGGATGACACTTTTCTTTGCTGCTTGGCGAGACGTGAATTGCAAGGCGGCGTATTATCGGACATCAGAAACCTTTTCGATTAGACTTTTTCAGATAAAACGCCTTCAGTTATCTTCAGAAGTCTGTTCATTATGTCCTTATAATATACAGAGCTCACCATCTGCCCTTCAGGCAAAACGTTTTATGAATTCTTTGGAACTATTTCTTCACATGAAAAAAAAAAAAAAAAAAAAAAAAAAAGGTGTCTAACATGGTCTAACATGATTTTTACTCGAGATTTATAAAATCGAAGTTTCTGATCTTAAGTTTGGAAAGTTATTTTTGATTAATAGTGTCCATCAGTGGCCGAGTGGACAAGACCATCCAAAACACTATCCTTTTAACTCTTACAACCCCTTCGAAAAATAGCGGAGAGACTAAAACATGAAAGTCAACAAGTTAAAATAATAACTTTTGTGGTTAGCCTTAAGTTTAGAGAAGAGGAAGTAATCTTAAGTCAGCAAAAGAAGATGATTATATATTTTTTTTTCCTGCTTCCTATTGAGAATTGAAATGCATGATTATTGAAATGCATGATGGCGTATTATCGAACATCATAAAGCTTTTCGATTAGGCGTTTTCAAGTCTAAAGCCCTAAATTATATTCAGAAGTCTGCTCAATATGTCTTTATGAAACATCGAGCTCACTAATACTTACATTAACTGCTACTACTTTCACCGTCTATCCTTCAAGCAAAACTTCTTGTATATTCTTTGTGAATTGTTTCTTCCCGTGCAAAAAAATGGTCTCTAACATGATTTTTACTCAAGATTTCGGAAATCGAAGCTCCTATGGTCGTAGTAAAACTTCTCTCAGCCAAATGATTATCGTTAACAGTAAATATCTCCGTATCGTAAAAAAAAACACCAAGATTACTATACTGAGAGACTCAAAAAAATTGTGAAATGCATGCAATACAATTACTGAATTAAAACAAAATCAATTCTTTCCCAAATTACTCTGATAAATAAAAACATTCCAATGCATCCACAAGCGAGAAAAATGATTAGAGATAATTTTAAAGAGGTTACCGAGAAATGCGTTGCATAAATTTGCATGCCCATTTCATACGCTTGAAGTTCACAATAGCTACAAAACCGAAGACAATCTATATGATTGCTTTTTTGTCTAATTTATAATTCTACTTTGGTATTTACTCTTGCATTTCAATTAAAATAAATTACTTATTTAAATAAAACTGTGATATCATAAAAAGAAGGTTTCCGCATTTGAAAAGAGTACACAAAAATGTTGGACTTTCCATCATCCTTGATTAAGTGTGTTCCAGTTTCCAAAACTTGTATAGCAGCCCACCAGCGGCCGAGTGGTAAAGACGCTGAACACTGGTAGTTCGGTCTGAGGTTCGAATCCCGCGAACGGGCTGGCTGCATGGGCGTTTTCGTGGTTTTCCCCATGTGTAACGTGTATACGAGCCAGTTTCCCTTTGAAAGTCCTCCACGAAAGGCATCCCTCCCTTTAGGCAGATAGCCCTCGTGTGCTTTGTCATAATTAAATACACCAACACACACCAAAACTTGTATAAGGCTGGAACTTGAATCTAACGTTTTCATCTTTTGTGTGGCTAGGCAGATTTTGCAGAAATTTGCCCAATCACCAAACACTCTGGACATATGAACTAAAGTGCGTATAATTTAACGGGACTAAATTAAATAATCATTTAGTCCGTTGCACCCTCCATATAACTGTGCAAACAAATGCAAAGACTCTGTGAAGGATTTCTAACTTCGCCAAGAAGTTCCACCTCGATTCTACGCCACGGTAGCAACTTGGGCTTTCTGCTGAATTTGAATCTAGGGGACTTTCGTTTATTTGACATGTTGTTCCAACCTACTGGATATTTAAAGCTCATAACCGATTCCGGCTATTTTCTGTAACAGACTGATGCGACTAGATGCGTTCATCGTAACTAGGAATTTTTGACCATAGACACGCAAACACATCCTCCCACGTAGTAGCCTAAATGGGATGGTGTTAAGCGAATTGGATGCAGTAGATCTGAGCCCAAATTCGAATGAAAAGAAGGCATGAATAAGTGCAGAGTATGTTTGCGGTATGGAGGCACATAAAAATTACTGTCCAGCTGAAAGTCCTCTTGAAAAGTCTGTAGTAAAAGTGTAAAAGAGAGATAGCAGACCTTAGGATCTGTCCTTTACCAAAAATGAGAGGAAGCTGAGCAAATTCGTATTCTCACCTATACGATGCCCAAGGCCTAGGCCAATGTTAGGCACTACTTCTTGATCTTAACCGCAGTAAATATATGTGACCCAGAATCTGGCATACTACATTCAAATTACAAATACATTAGCGATTAATATGCAGATTTAAAAATGAATTCATTTGAAAATGAATAATTGTTATCGAACAGATCTGAATTCATTTAAAAATGAATAGTTGTTTCGGAACAGACTTGAATTCTGCTGGAAATGAACCGAACTTTCAAGCAGAAACATTACTGAGAAATCTATACCAGTAAATACTGATTTAAATCAAATAACTGAAACTTTTTAGAATAAATACTTACATTAACTGCTACTACTTTCAAATGCTGCATAATTCCTAATATAAAAAAACAAAAAATATCATAAGCTACATGCAATGAATACATACAGTGCCGTCTTAACATTGCTATGGAAACCTAGGCAACCCAGTCTGTTGGGCATACTCCAACAACCACTCACAAAAGATTAAATGTAAATGGATTAATATGCAGCCCCTAAGCATGTAAGGTAACCTAGCGGTCCCATACGTTAAGACGGCCTTAAATACACTTATTTACTTTAACAACAACATTACTTTTTACTGTTATTTAAAATTATTAAGAAACTAAAATAATATGAAAAAAAATTTTTTTTTTTAAACTGAAAATTTTCAGATTTTAAATAACGCCCAAAGGGGAGTTTTTTTAACATTTTTCGTGTTACCTTTATTTATTAAAAATCATTTTCTTCGCACTTGAAACATAAATTTCAGTTCAATAGCAATGTCGCAAAACAATTTTAAAATGAGCCTATCTTTAAAATTTCCAATACACAGTTCCGCGCGCTGGAGATAAAAAAGGTGTTTTTTTTTTTTTTTTTTTTTTTTCCTCCACCTGTAGATTGTTTGTTGCCATTGCTCGCTTTCAAATCGTTGAGTTTTTACTCAAAAATTCGTTAAAGTTTTACAAAATATGAAATCGATAATAAAACAAATTCCAAATTTCAAATTTGGGCTTCTACATGCCCATATTCGTAGGAGGATTAAGTCATTCAAAATTCGATCGCTCTATGTACCGTTGTTTTATCACAATGCGAGAAATAGACATACATTTATGCAGATTTTTCATTATGGAATTTCTTCAAATATAATGCAGGACTCTAACATTTGGCGGCAACAGTTTGAAAAGTGAAATGGACATTTATAGTGATTCAATGCAAAATCGCAAAACGAAAACAAATAGTTCTTCAGGGACAAAGCCTCTTTGGACTAATAATCGGACTGTAAGATAAATTTTACTTTGCTTAGAACAAGGAAGAACAATTCGTAGCTTCCTTGTTGTTTCCGGTATATTCCTATCTATCAGTATTTTGGATGCAAACTAAACTGAAATCACTTAGCAGCTAGATGTGGCTAATATAATCAGCAATATGTATGCATTTATATAGTCGTTTATCTGTTTGATTTATTTAATATTTAAACGGTGATATTATTCTATGCATATGATAACTAAGCATCCTCCTCTTATTCTAAAATTTCACTTAACAAAGTGCCTGATTATAAAACTCTCCCAAATTTTAGAACAAAAATATAGCAAAAAAGGGGGTTTTATTTTCAGGTAAATACAAAACTCTAGAAAAAATGAGAGGGTTTTTTTTTTTATTATTATTCGGTAAAGGTTAGCAAGTTTGATAAAATGTTTTTTTCGAAAAATTGAAATGGTTTAGATTTTAACATTTGCTTGAAACGGCTCTTTTAAAGCGGTTTATCAGCAAAGGTTATCAATAGCGATGATACATGGGGAATAGCGAATCATTTTATAGGATACTAGATGAACATACTTTTAGACTAATGTAAGAATGTTATCTTCTATACATCTGAAAAGTAAAAAAATGCATAATGTAATTCTATAAATATATTTAATGTTTTTAATTAGTCATATCATGAAACTAATGCATTTTTATTTAGCTGAATCGGATTCAAAAGTAAAAAAAAATAATATTCCTAAGAGCTGCATCTATTGCTTTTATATAGCTTAGCTTGTTCATCAATAGAAGGCAGATTAAATTTAAAAGATAAATATCTTACATTTTGCAGAACGGCAAACAGAATTTAATGAAAAGTGAAACAACGCATTAAAATTAAACAATATTAAATCACATTTCACATTCATCACACATTCACATTAATAGCCCTTCTAGGCTAACAATATATTACGTATAATTTGCGAATGTTTACAAAAGCTGAATAACAAACCCTAAAATATAACTGACTATAATACTTACCTTTTAATTAGAATAGATCAGAAGAACAACTTATATATCAGATGTACAGGTTTAGGATCCAAATAAAAGAATGGAAACAACGGATGATCAAGAAGACGTTTGTATTTATTATTTAATTTTTTATCGATTAATACATATAGAAATTTTGTTTTGTATGAGAATTAATTTTTCTGAACAACTTTTAATACTTGATTTAAAACGATTACAGAGATAAAATATTTCGGTAAAAGGTTATGATCCAAAATATTCAAAATACAAAGATTGTAACAAATATCCTAATCCTACAATTCAGTTGGATTTCAAAACACATTTGGAACATATAGTTCTTCCGTGCTTATGTCGAATGACATAATGGAATAAAATTAATAAATTAGCAAACAGCTTTCAAATCAATACAGGAAGAGGACCATTACCGTATCAGTCGATTTTATGCATCAATGTGTTATCATCTCCAACATTAATGCAGAGTTTTATACAATAATAACTAAGTTGAAGGCTTCAGTGATATCAGATACTAAGTGCCATTTATTATGATTAAAGCGTGTTCGCAAAAAGCTGTTCGTATGCATTAAATGCATTTAAATAGGAAAATTTAGGTACTACTTTGTTATCAATAAGAGGACGAACGGGTACCATAAGTAGCAAACTCCATTTGAATTAAAGAACAGAAAATCGGCATTATACATGTCAATGCATTTTGCATCTGTACCTTTTAAAAAAATTACGACGTTTATTTAAAAAACACTGCACAAAGATTACAAAAAAGAAAAGTAAAAAAAAAAAGTAAATTTTTTTTTTTTTTTAACGTTTTGCATGTTATTTTTATTTATTAAATATCATGCTCTTCGCACTTAAAGCATAAAATTCAGCTCAACAGCAATATCGCAAAATAATTTTAAAATGAGCCTATCTTTAGAATTTCCGATACAAAGTCTCGCGCGCTGGAGATTTTTTTTTTCTCTTTTTACAGTGTAGCCCTTATAGTATTGCCATTTGCCATTGCTCGCTTTGAAATCGTTGAGTTTGTTAATCGAAAATTTTTCACAAATTATGAAATCGGTAATAAAGCAAATTTCAAATTCCAAACTTGGGCTTCCAGATGCCATATTCGGGTGGAAATGTACGTTATTCAAACTTTGATGGCTCTAGGTACCGTTGTTTTGTCGCAGTGCGAGAAACATACTTACATTTATGTCGATTCTTCATTATTTAATTTTTTAAATATAATACAGAGCTGTAATATTTGGTGGCAACCGTTTGAAAAGTGAACCGAGATTTATCGTGAACCAACGCAAAATGCCAAAACGAAATTAATAGCCCTTCTGTGCTAACGCCCTTTGAGCTGAAAATATATTAGAAAAGATTTTAGAACTATTAAGCTCCTAACATCTCTGTAATATTATAACTGAGCTTGAATATAATTTCAAAACACTATCGAGCTTCAAAAGCCCAAATTAAACGCTGAAGGTAGCGAGGTAGAGGAGGGGATGATTGAGTAATGCAAAATTCGAATTAACCAGACTTTTTAGGGAGAAGACGGACCTCCCCCCCCCAAAAAAAAAAAAAAAAAACATAGATGGATTTTCAGCAAGCGAAATTGGTATTCTCAACAGCAAACGATCTAGTGAAATGTTTTCTTTGTTAAATAAGCGCATAAATCTAGCGATAATTTATGATGAAATGTTCGTTATAAATTACCTTTATCATCTGGCACTTTTTTATCAGTTTACTTTAAGTGCACAGTTTCCTGTTCTATACTTTGAATTCAAGTGGAGGGGGTTAATTTTTAAATTAATAGCCTAATCGTAGCTGTAAATTTTAAAATTGTGTTAGGCTTTAAACTGGAGGCGTTTAATACAAATATAAGTTGCAACATATATTTAGAATGAAATTAAAACTTACAGCGCATACAGTACAGGAAGAAGTCGACCATTAAAAATGCTGAATTATAAAATATACTTAAGTGTCTATGTGCCACGCTAATTTCGCATAGAACTGGCGAATTTTAATTCGCTTTTTTTTTTTTTTTTTTTTTTTTTTTTTTTTTTTTTTTATTATTTTTTTTTTTTAAATTGAGCAGAAGTGATTTACATTTTGTGATACAAAGATGAAATTTTGGAAGTCTTGAATATATCTAACAGGGTCCAGTTTTAGATATATTGATCAATGAGTGTATCGTTGAAACAAATATGATAAAAAGAGTCATTGTCAAATTTACTATGACATGTTTTATTTTATGGAGATTTCCGGTTATGTTTTTACCACCAATCCTCGAATTCCATATCACAGATTATGTTCTTACTGCATTAATATAATATTAACAAGACATAGTGCACAATAAAAATTAAGCTTTATTTAGGAACTTCGCGCACACTGCCCGACAGCCTGCCTGTTTCGCTCTGCTCGCTACTCGTAAGAAACTTCTCCTCTAGGGTTGCCACACTTATCGGAGGGCGCAAGGCGCGCTCCTTATCGCCATCACCACAGAGTTTCCCCCCAGTTCCTTTAATGGCTATTCAAAGGAACGACATAGGTTATGAAATTATCTCAGAGTATCCGTACTGTCGGGTATTTTTTTTACATGAATTACAAAATTAGAAATGATCAAAATGAAAATTCAATATATAACAAGGTATTGACACATATAATAAACATGAAATAACAAGAAATATGTTAAGATATGAATTTAAAAAAATGTTTTAAATTGTTATGTAAGAAGCAAGTTTCTTAGGGAAGTGAACATGTCTTCCCGATCTGGTGACAGTTTGTGTCTTAGAGAGTTCGTTTGCAGATTTATTCTGCTGAACTGTCTTTAAGTCTTTATTTGTTTTCAGTTCAGGCAAATTAGAGTCCGAAAGCAAATAGGCTGGTTTCACACGGTCTATAGACACAGTAGATTTCAGACCGTTAATATCAATTGTGAAAGTTTTGTCCGTTCTAGAAAGGACTTTATGCGGACCTGTATATGGTTGGCACAGAGGTGGCTTTACTCGATCGACACGTAAGTATACATGCGTACACGACTTTAAGGTAGCACTTACGTAACATTTTTCTTGGCAATGTGCAGATGTTGCTATTGGATTCAACTTGTTGCATTCTATGCCGAAGATTCGTGATAAATTGTGTGTCATACGGAGATATCTTAGATGACGT